GAAATGATCCCAGTGGGAGTGGGCAGAGCAGTGGGAGGATGTATGGGGAATATGCCAAGGGAGCACCTAAGAGGGTTGTTCTTGAGATGCCAGTATGACTATTAGAACAAAGTTCTTATTTGCTGTGTGACCTCATGGCTCAGCAGCTAAAAGGATGTGTCTTTCTTCCTAATGGATCCTTAAAATAATCTCCCATTAACTGAAGCAATGGGAGTAAATCTCTTTCCCTTACAAACTAAAAATCAATAGATCAATCAATCAATTCACCAACAGGATAACAGGAGCTTGCCTCCATTTTCAGTGCCACCGCCTGCTTTAAGGCTAAGCTCAAAGTCAGACTGTTCTTTTAACGTTTCTTATTTGAGCAAATGAGCGATTGGATGGCATGTGGATGAACAAAGCTTGGGCATGTTTAGACGCGGCCAGGACTTGGGTGTCCTCTGGATCGCTCAAGTACCAAAGCAATGACTTACCAAATAGCAACAGTAAAGGGGAGACAATGGGGACACAGGGGTTATGTTCAGGATTGAGTGAGTAGGTAGCTGAGTAACGGAGACAAGTGTGAGATCAAGTTGGAAAGAACAAGAATACTACAGCCAAAGCTCAGAGATATTGCAGGTTTGGCTCCAGACCAGCGCAATGAAGGGAATCATAACTCCTTTGCTGGTGGAGGCTCTTGCCTTCAATTTGGAAACAAAAACAAAAACAAAAACAAAACAAAAAAACCCCACACAGGCTGGAAGGGAGGTACTCCCCTACCTTTACCTTCTAATCTTTGCTTGGAAGTAGAATGCATTTGAAAGAAAAGCCCTTGGTTGGGCCATCTCTGATTAGGGAAAGGTAGATTTGAGGAAGGATAAAAGGAAGGTTAATGAATAGATAGTAGTCCTAGTTTGGGAGGGGAGAGGGAAGAGATAAGATAGGGGACAGAGGGAGAGCTGCTCAAAGCCCTTAGGGGCAAGAAATTTGGGGTCTGAGAGGAAGAACAAAGGGCAAAGCTCAGCCTGGGCTGACCTACACATGGCCTATAAATGAAATATTCACTTTTAAGTAGTTTTCCTAAGTGGACACCTGAAGGCACTGTATTCCAATCACCTGGAAATCTTTTCTTTTTTTTTTTTTGTCCCCCATCAAGTAAATTGTCCTCAATTTGCTGAAGGATAAACAAGTAATGCTATAAAGAAAGATACCCATGGAAGACAGAGGTCAAAGACTGTCTTTCCTCCTTCTCTTTGTTCTTGAACTAGATTCATGAATGAACAAGACTGACCTTGATTCAAGTCCCTGGGTAATGGCTAGGATTAAATAAAATAACCTGATTTAAATCTCCTTAGCATTTCATAGGAAATCAATAAATATCAGCTCCTTCCCATATACAACCACATACAAACATACACACTTGCCAACTATAGGAACAAGAGTAGGAACATGAGGAGGCGTTACACCGACCCTTTATCTCTCTGAAGGGGGCAGGACTCAAAAGCCCCACAATGAATGTACAGCTGTGCTAGAAATTCATTCCAGAGAGCAAATTTATGCTGCTCTTTTCATTGCATGTTGCAGCTTGTACATAATAGCCAGAGGGAATAGAACACAAACAGCTGGGAAATAAAGATGAAAGCAAAACTGTGTCAGCAGGGAGAGACACACCTCCCCTGAGGACCCGGCAGTGTCAGGAAACATAATTTGAACAAGGTCACCTGCACAGAATTCTCTTTTTCAGAGAAAGATCATTCGACTGCTGCCCATTTCTGACCATTTCCTTCAAAGTCAAGGTAGGGATTGGCACAGATGTTCCCTGGCTTTCAAATTTCTACTGTCACGTCCAATGCATATAATGAAACAGAGCCACAGGCGAAATCATGCATTATCAGAAGGCTAACTGGGATCTGGGATGGTGGGAAAACAAAGAAATTCTGCTTCCTAGCACAAAAGGAGCCTGTTGAGGTTTCCCCCTCCTGAATCCCAGATGGCAAGTTTTGTGGCCTTATGCCGCCCTCTAGTGTCTTTTTAAGGGATGGTAACATGAGAAATAAAAACACTTTTCATGATCCCCAGGCATCCCATACCATCTCAGCACAGGACTGGTCAAACAAAACAAAGCAAGTAAAATTCTTAGGGGAAAACAGGCAAAGCCAGGATTTTTACTAAAATTAAAAAGTGAGTTAAATTTGGCCTCAACATAGACACCGCATTTTTCCGGACTTTGAAAAGCACAGGGTTTAGATTAGTGAGTGCTCTTTAAAAATACGGACACCTGTTCCTCGCGCATCAATCTTAGTCTGTCTGAGGTGGGGCCCATGAATCTGCATTGAGTAAATCCCTCCACGTGACTCCGATGGGGTTAAGTTGGTTGACTGCACTTTGAGAAGAACTAAAGTGACTTTAAGGAGAGTGTAAAATAAACCTGATGAGTTTCTTTTAACCCTATAAGAATACAGCTCTTAGGCAAAAAAAAAAAAAAAAAGAAAAAGGCATAAATAAAAGCTGTCCAAGACAGATTGGAGTGGCTGAATCCTTCATGACTGGCACGGAAGACAGCAGTGCTGCTCAGTGCTGAGTGAAGAGTTCATACCAGTGGTTCTCAACCTGTGGGTCGCGACCCCTGAAAATACATCCTGCATATCAGCTATTTACATTATGATTCATAACAGTAGCAAAATTACAGTTATGAAGTAGCAACAAAAATAATTTTATAGTTGGGGGTCACCACAACATGAGGAACTGTATTAAAGGGTCGCGGCATTAGGAAGGTTGAGAACCACTGATCTAGACGGTCCTATATGATAAGCCCCCCAATGGCAGTAGGCATGTAGGCAGGAAGGAGAAACGATGTGTTTCAAAGACAGTGCCCTACTTGTCTGATGAGACATTACCCACTACCTGGCACTGCTTCTCTGTGCCCTCGATGGGCAGGTCTGTGCAGGTCACATACTTCCACCGACCTTGAACTGCTCTTTTCCAACCGTTTTAGTCCCGGACACAGTGCCCAGTTTCTAGTGAGGCTCACTCATGCTTCCTGAGGTCCCTCCCTACACAAACAGGACAGCATTTGGCTTTGAGCTGGTGGCTGGCTTGGCCAGCACACTCAGTGTCATGATCTCTCCCTTTCCTTCACAATGACTGCCTGAGCCTGCTGTGTACATCCGGGCACAAAAAAATCAGGGGCAGAAAATGCCCTCTATTCCCTTCAGTCAGAGACAAGAAAGAGGATTGGCCTGGTAAGCAGCATTTCCTTTGAATTGCATTTCACCTTTTGAGCTAAGCTACTTGATCTGTGGGCACAAACAAGATGTCTTTGAAGTTAACAAGAGGCCACTCTGAGAGAGGGAGACAGCCGTTACCACTTATTTTAGGTGTTGGTGATTATAAATAAGTTCTGCAATTACAGAAAGTGAAACACTTTTCTTTCTTCTTTTATCTGATTTAGAAAGAGGACTTTTCTCTAGAAAGACTTCTGTTGGGTTTTCTCTTTCCAGTTCCCTAACTGCCCCATGTATATTCTCTTTGAATCGAAGGGAAAGATCACATCAGTACAAGCGAACACCTCTTGCCAAGTAAAAATGTGACCACGAGGGTCCCTGTAGGACTATGGAATGCATCCAGGACAGGGCAGAAGCAGCAACAGAGGGGCCTGGGTCAAAACTGGGGATGTGCCCTGACCAGTTTGGCTCAGTGGATAGAGCATCAGCCTGCAGACTGAAGGGTCCCAGGTTTGATTCCAGTCAAGGGCATGTGCCTTGGTTGCAGGCACATCCCCAGTGGGGGTTGTGCAGGAGGCAGCTGATCGATGTTTCTCTCTCATCGATGTTTCTGGCTCTCTATCCATCTCCCTTCCTCTCTGTAAAAAAACAATAAAATATATTTAAAAAAAATTAAAAAAACAAAAAACTGGGAACGTGTCTTTGCTCAATTGTACCAGTATTTTTATCCCTGGGCAAGTCATTCCCAGCTCAATAAAATGCTAATGATACCTCGTCCAACGCTGGTTGTCCTGTTAAATGTGATGGGATCACCTGTCCGGCATGCTTTAGTGGGTTGAGTACTCGACCCTATGAACCACGACACATGCCCAGGTTCCAGGCCTTGATCCGCAGGGAGAAGGTGTGCAGGATGCAGCCCTATCAATGATTCTCATCATTGAATGTTCCTATCTTCTCTCTCCCCTCTTCCTTTCCTCTTCATGGAATCAATAAAAATATATTATTAAAAATGTGGTGGGATTGAAACTAGTAGATAAGTTCTTAGTAATTCACAAAAGCCCACTGAGATAGAAACTTGTGTTATTTTTTTTCCTGTTATTGACAGGTTTCTAAGATATTTATATTGGTCACTTGGAGAAATCAAGTGTCAATAAGGAAAGAAAATGTCTGCTAAGACTTTGTTAGAAGCTAGTAGAAGCTAGTAAAAGA